AAAACGCTAGAAAAATTTCTATTGCATCCCTCAAATCATCACAATATTTACTATTAGGTCCCCTGGTTAACACCGGTTATATTTAAAGAAATATTCTTTTAAATCTAACTATTATTACTAGTTTTCCTTGACTTTTAATTATAAAAGGTTAACCCGTTTGGACCTAGTTGATAAGTTCTGGTATGATAAGTTAACCCGTTTCAAAATTAGTCCTGTTGGCTATCTTCAATATTTTAAAATTACTCATTCAAATCATGGAAATTTCTATTACATCCCTCAAATCATCACAATATTTACTATTAGGTCCCCTGGTTAACACCGGTTATATTTAAAGAAATATTCTTTTAAATCTAACTATTATTACTAGTTTTCCTTGACTTTTAATTATAAAAAGTTAACCCGTTTGGACCTAGTTGATAAGTTCTGGTATGATCAGTTAACCCGTTTCAAAATTAGTCTAGTTGGCTATCTTTAATATTTCAAAATTACTCACTCAAATCATGGAAATTTCTATTGCATCCCTCAAATCATCACAATATTTACTATTAGGTCCCCTGGTTAACACCGGTTATATTTAAAGAAATATTCTTTTAAATCTAACTATTATTACTAGTTTTCCTTGACTTTTAATTATAAAAAGTTAACCCGTTTGGACCTAGTTGATAAGTTCTGATATGATAAGTTCTGGTATGATAAGTTAACCCGTTTCAAAATTAGTCTGATTGGCTATCTTCAATATTTTAAAATTACTCATTCAAATCATGGAAATTTCTATTACATCCCTCAAATCATCACAATATTTACTATTAGGTCCCCTGGTTAACACCGGTTATATTTAAAGAAATATTCTTTTAAATCTAACTATTTAAAGAAATATTCTTTTAAAGAAATATTCTTGGTCATTAAATCTTAGTAAAATGATGCTTTGGGGGGGGTATTTACAAATATATACAACGCTTGGGTATATATGTAAAAATTTCACAAAAAAAAAGAAAGTAGTGGCGATCCAAGAGTTCGAACACAGGACCTGTTATATCATATTCGCTCGAACTCAATTTTGACGGCTCTTTCTCCTCTTAACCTTATAAAAAAACTCCAAGAGACTCTATCCAAACTATTTTCATCCGGTTGATTAAATCTAATTTATCTCCTCTCAGATTCATTAATGATGTTTACAGGCTCAAGTCCATCCGTAGATGAAGCCCAGAGTAGTGGAGTTCATCGAATCTACTAGCATAAAGAATAAAAATAAATAAATTTTAAAACTAACATAGAATTCCTAATTAATAGTTAATATTTTAACATAAGAATCTGATAACATATGTATCTTTCCATCGCAAATGTTTGTATTGGCGATGAATTTCAAATTCAAATTCAGAAAGCATATATCACTTCTCCCTAAAAGAAGGGACATGCTTCTAGCGACAAAGTTGCGGCTACAGCCTCCTTGACGACGACGCTAGAGGGGAGCAGGGGGCCCTTGAGA